GTATGCAGCACAGTATTTTGACCCTCTAAAAATATCACTTTCATTTTGTATTTTACTTCAGATTTGTTTTTAGAGCCTCTTCAAAGATCAGTAGATTGTAGGATCTATCTGAGATGATCTGTTAGTAAATTTTAGAGATGGATCATACTGGACTAAAGATGTTTAGAAATCTTTTTATTAATCTTTAAAAATCAAAGCTTGAATTCTTTTATTTCTAAATATATATATTTTGAAATAAATAAAATAGATATATCTTTAAAAGTGTACCTAACTATAATGTATTTGCCCAAGCACTCATTAGCACAGAAGCAGTTAATGAGCAGGAGTATAGTGCCAGTATAATGAAAGAAGCAGCAGATAAAGATTCAGGATCTTAGGTTTTACTGTTGACTTTGCCACTAACTAGCTTTGTTTCTTTGGCCAAGTTACTTTCCCTCTCTGAGCTTGTTTCCACATCTATAAAACGGCAGGGTTGGACTCTAAGGTCTTTTCTTTTAGCCCTAACATTTTGTGTTGCTTTTGTTATGACTGTTTCTCTAAAGCAAGAGATCCTTCTCCTGATTGCTCCTTCTTTAGAAGCTCAACGTTTTGACTTACTGATTTACCCACTGGCAAGAGGTGGTGTACTTTCCTTTCCTGTTTGACTGCTTAAACGAGAGACATTACTCATTTCCTTTCTGGATAGGCTTTCTTGGCTTTTCATTTTTTTTTTTTTCCTGATTGCTTGTTGGTCTCTGCATTGTTGAGCTCATTCCTTATTATTTTATTTTTGCTTTCTTTTAGTAGATGAAGTTGTAATAAGGTTTTATGTTGGTGTTTGTTATATGATTTAGAAGACTTAGCTTGTATGGGTTTTGGGGTCCTATTATTTTATTCTCTTATGCACCAGTTCCAGTTGTTTGTTTGTGGGTTTTTACCCTCCCTCCCATATTGTTTTGCTTTCTCCCCTTCTCCCTTCCCTCCCTTTCAGGAAAATGGAGGAGTGGCTCCATTTCTTCCGGCTCTGCCCAGGTTTTCTGCCCCAAGAGTGGCACAGCCTGTGCCTTTAATGCTTCTGATAGAATCATGACTGCTTTGGATGCTACACCTGCCTTAAGATGTAATATTGAGCATTGAGATTACAGGGACAGTGCCTTGTTGCCTGGATGATTTTCCCAGAAACCTCCTGGAAAGCCTCAAGAAAGGAAACTTCAGAGCAAACAGAATCAACTAGGGATCATGACTATACATCCATCACATGCATACCAGCATGGGTCCAGCCAAGGCCTCCAAAATGATGCTTTGCCAGCCTCAGCTGGTTCTCAAGTGATGATGTCCTTGAAGTCTCTGTGGCCCGTGACTCCAGAGTTAAGGTAGTGGAGTTTCCCTTAAAGTACCTCACAGCAGGCTTTATAGATGGGACACATCTTACCTCAACATGTTTGCTGACTACTCAGGTTGAAGGTCAGCCTTAGCCCTTAGGTCCTTCAAGTTAAGTTGTAACTTTGAGATGTAGGTTATGTTATGGGCTAGATTTATCATACAGTGGGTCTTTGACATATTGAACTTCAACCATCAGTCATAATTTATGCAAAAGGATGTAATTTTATTTACTTTTTAGGGCTTCATTTACATTTTTATAAATTAGATTTTACTTTGGTCAAAAGGTGTTATAGGGCAAATCTAAAACATCTTAGCCGGGTAAAGCTTGGGGTGTCTCCATCACTCTTGTGTGTAACTTATGATTTGGAGGAAAATGACCCTTCTCTGAAGTTTGTAATTTTTGTGCTTCTAAAGTGACTGTGATTGTTTCAAATGTTATGGTCTTACTGAAGGTTGTTGATAAGTTGTAATTTTTTATTATGTGGATCTGATTTCATTTTCTATGATTTATTATATGATGTATTAGTTGATATATATCTTATCTCATATTTTTTAGTTTCTTCCTGATAATATACAACTTGAGTATGAAGTAGATAGGTTTACATATTTTGACCTCCTGTTTAGTAGACTTATTCCTAGAAGTCCAGAGTTTGAAAGAAGAAAAATAATGTTTTCTTACAATTAATAGCCAAGTCTTTACAGCTAACAAGGAATTTTAAGTTTTTTTTTAATTTGAAGATAGAAATTGAAATCAGGTTATTGAACTAAACTTCAGAGTAACTAGATTAGGAATTGTATTTTTGTTGGTTATTTATTGTACCACTCAAATAGTGATACAAGATCTACTTGTAACTGCAAGTAAACTATGTTCTTCTATTTCTAATCTAGTATCCAGTGCTTCATGTATTTTAAACATATATTCATTCCAAAACAGTGTTTTCCCCCAAATTGGTTCAAGAAAATTTTTCCTGGTCCATGGCAAATGATAAAATAGTGTGTATTAAATAATTTTTCCAGAAACATACTTTTATTAAATTTAAAGGATTACCCTTTATTCTGCAGTTGTTCCCTAATTTGGGGGGCGGGTGTAAAAATATATTTTATTTTATAAAATGGTAAGAGTAAATTGGTAATTGGGTTTAATAACCTTGGCACAATGAAAAGTTGGCAACTATATTAGTCCTCATTTTTTAAAAAGTTTACTGTGTGCAATGCAAGTCAGCAAACCACTGATCTATATAAGAGCAAAGCTTTATAGCTGAACTCCATTAAGACTTAAATCGAAGTGATCTAGTCTTCACTTTTTTGAAATTCAAACCAGAGCAGCAGCCCCCAGCAAAGCAAACTCATCTGTTGATCTGAGGGCTGCCTTTAGCAGCTAGTGATTCTGTGTTTAAATATTTCTGATCTATCTGAGGGAGAAAGCCATAAAAGGCAGATAATAAACATTTTCGGAAGTTATTACCTGTTTTGCTTCAGTCTGTTTAGGTGCCTTTTCTATACATGCTTGAATATAAATAACAATGAGATATTTTTGAACACTCTACTTGTCAAACAAAAACTGAAGATGCATTAACAGTCTCCCTGGTGGCGCAGTGGTTAAGTGTTCACCTGCTACCGAAAGGTTGGTGGTTGGAACCCACCAGGTGGCTCCATGGGAGAAAGACCTGGCCATCTGCTCCTCTAAAGATTACAGCCTAGTAAACCCTGTGGGGCAGTTCTGTTCTCTCACAAAGGGTCACTGTGAGTGAAAATCAGCTTAATGACACCTAACTACAACAACAACCATTGAATGAGTTCTTGATTGAAATGTGACTGTTTGGTAACAAATATAAAGAGAGGTTTCAAATCCAGAAATAACAGGTTCTGTAATTCCAGCTTCAAGTTTTTGACTGAACGAGAGAATCAATTTTGATTGCAGACTGAATGTTTATCCCATAGCACTTAGTTCATGGCAAACTATCATAATCATGCCAACTCCTTTTTGAACCTTTTTATAAGGTATTTTTCTTTGTTACTGTGATTTATGAACTTATGTCAGAAGAACACACAGACTTATCAAAACACTTTGTCTTTCACAAAAGCCACATGATTGTTTTTATCTTGTATTTTCAAATCTCTTTCTTTAGTGCAAACATGGAAATTTTCTAAGGATATACAGTCGATTCTCATTATTGGTGATAGTTGTGGTCTGTAAAGTCACTGTGAACACTGAATTATCAAATACTCAACCATTTTTTCCAGGGGAAATACTGAGTTAGGTTCCTGTGAGCCTCTGGTCACATTTTCATCAATAGTCAATACATAGTCTTGTTTGATATATGTTTCTATTTAGAAGACACCTTATTTAATATATATTGTTGACTCATTAACATTTACCTCATGGCCAACAGCACTGTTACTCATGCCTGAATGAAGCTTATCTATCACATGTATTTCCTCCCCAAGGCACCTCACAGCCTTTTGTGCTTAGGAACACTAGACAGCCCTTTAGCACTATACTCGATGGTCATTTGAAGCAGTGAAATCATGAACAAAAAGCACAAAAATATGAAAAACTTGGCACTAAATAGACCACAAAAAGGATACTCGTTTGTGGTATGAGAACTGAAACAAGAAGGCAGACCATTGCCGTTTGACCACAGCTGGGAATGTGTGCATTGGGCCACTCAAAGTTTTTGCCTTTCTATGCAAATGACCACGAAAGTGCTGCGAGTGTTGATTTTGGGAGTTACAAATAAGTTTTAGCAGATAGGTGAATTTGCAAATATGGGATCTGTGAATAATGAGAATCTACTGTATTTTATTTTAACATGTGGTAATATAAGTAAAATAAATGGTCTCTCATGCTTTTAGCATTGGATTTTTCCACTAGCAAATTGGCCTTTGAGTAGCATCTTGAGAAATTTTGTTGTGAGTGAGGCTATTGTACTATATACATTTAGGAAAGTGAAAATTCGTTTATGGTAATTTGTATTCTTTTACCATGTGTGTAATAATAGTGTTTCTGTCCCTTCTCTACTTTAATTTGAATATTATTATTAATCATAATAGTATCATGATTCCTGATTGTTTTAATACTTAATATTTGAGGTATACTTTTGTCTGGTTAACAGAATATATGAAATAAATTGAAATTTAAAGACCAAAAAATTTTCATCCAGTTTGAGGTACTGTTTCATAGTATAGTAGTTTATTGCACATTGATTTTCTAAGAATACATTTTGCTGTTGAATAAATTCTCTCATGTGGAGCTTTGTCTTGGAATGCCATTTGTCTGAATAAGTTGATTTACTGTTGTGGGCCTGTCTGACATTGTAGTTGTTGGATTATGGCAGCCCAGCAAGTCTAGAATTGGAAGACTTATCTAGCATCAAATTATAGTTGGCGAAAGTTGTCCATAGACTATGTTCCTGGGATTTTTCAGTATATTGCAGAATTTTATAGAATTGGAAGATAATCAAAAGTTTTTATTGGTAGCTTAGGTTGAAACATGGTTTGGGTAGTCTTTTATTTACAAAATAAAATATATTGGCACATTTATTCCTATTTTGAAATAGAGAATTCTTTGTTTTTGTTTTAATTTATTTTACTTCACCACCAAATATATAGTTTTTTATTGTTTTTTTACTCTCAAGAATTGCCAAGAAGATGCTTTTAGAAGAAATTAAAGCCAATCTTTCCTCTGATGAGGATGGATCTTCAGATGATGAACCAGAAGAAGGGAAAAAAAGAACTGGAAAACAAAATGAAGAAAACCCAGGAGATGAGGGTGAGCTCCCTAAAGAGGATGTCATGATTTGATTCCTTGCCCAGTTCAGTCTTTGAAGAATATCTGACCAAGAAATTTCTTAATACATGCACTTAAAATTCATTAAAATGTTAAAAACATTGCTGCTATTCTCCTGAGTATTTTTAATAATTGTGGAAGTTACTCTAATTTTACCAGTTTTTCACAATAAAGAGATGATTTTTTTAAGCGAAGTATTTTATACCTTTTAAAAGATTTTACAATTTGTACTAGTGGTGTTTAATCAATATTTAATAATATATCAAGTCTGATGTATGAGATTACCTGGTACCACCAATGATACCAAGGTACGTGCATAGTTCTAATCTTTCCCACAAATCACCATAATTGTCAACAACAAAATAAGTTTACACAACATTTTAAAGGAAAAAAAGGCTTAAGAATGTTTTATTGACTTATTTTCTCCATTTAGAAGCAAAAAGTCAACTCAATTCTGACTCAGATTCAGATTCTGAAGAATCTAAGAAGCCAAGATACAGACATAGGCTTTTGAGGCATAAACTGACTATGAGTGATGGGGAATCTGGAGAAGAAAAAAAGATGAAGCCTAAAGAGCATAAAGAAGCTAAAGGCAGAAATAGGAGGAAGGGTAAGACATCTTAATTCTGAATGTAAGGACATACTGCTTTTATAAACTAATTATAGTAATGAAATTTTAGTATATCTACTCACAATTGACTCTATGATGTGACTATCAGTACACTGACAACACTGTCATTAGGCAGTTTTATGAGAGTGAAATAAAGACTATAGAATAGGAAGATACCTAGAAATTTGAGATGACACAAAGACTATTTTAACCTTTAATAGTTTGTACACATTTAGTATAAAGATAAATAAAAATGACTTAATAAAATAAGCTTAAAGGTTATATAGAAAAAAGAAGATTGCATACAACTGCAAGAAGAAATCGTGGTTTTGTAGGGAAATGTAGAAGATGCAATTGATGTGGGTAGGTTTGTGCAAGCTTATGTGCAAAACTTCCCTTGCATGTACTCAGACTAAATTTTCATTACATTAAAAAATCTGAATCCTTTTGCATTGAGTGCCTACATGTTTCCAGCAGCATGGTAAGCCTTGAGGCTGCAAAAATTAATAAGATCATTATCTAGTATGGTTGTTTTCAATCTAGCTACACATGAGAATCATTTGAGGAGTTTTAAAATGCACTTTTGACTGTGTTTCATCCCAAGCCTATTACATCATAATCTGTGTTGGTGGGACCTAGATATCAGCATATTTTAAAAGCTTATCAGTGATTCTGATATCTAGCCAGGTTTGGAAGTCACTGTTTAGTAAGAATTATTGACATTAGTACAAAAAATTACAACACCATGAGGGACATTTTATATAATAGAGGTGTAGTGTAGTATGACATAAAGGAAGGTTTGTTTTGCTTCTTGGGGCGGGATGCTGGTTATCCCCAGAGAAGACTTTACAAAGAGTCTTGGAGAAAAAGGATTTCACTCCACAGACTAAATAGGAAATGGGGAGCAGGTAGATGTGCTATGAAGATTTATAACATAGGCTGAGAAATTTTTTAAGAAGCCTGTGCAAACTGCGTGGCACATGGTGGAATGGATACAATTACTATGCTTTAGCTGAACTATAGAAGAGAGAAGGGAAAGGAATAACAGGAGATGAGACTGGGCCTGTAAGACAGAGACCAGATAGATACTTGTGAGCACCTTGTAAGCCTGTGTTTCTTAAACTGGAATGCTTCACAGTGGGTCCAGAGATACATGAAACTGTAGTGTAAACGTGGTACATCTCTTTTGGTGTGTCCGTTTTACTTGATATTTTGGGGAGGGCATTTTTATATTAAGTAATCACTAGTTTATTGAACAATTACATGCAAAATTTGTGTGGAATTTTGGCTAACAAAAAATTTAAAGAAATATTTTGCGTGTTAGGGGCAGATTCTGAAGACTGCTACCCACCTCCTGGAGGGCAGATTAACTCTCCTTTGCCACTGGATAAGTACAATAGGTCCTATGGGCTAGATAACAATTGAGAGTTGCTTTGTTTGTTTTTAAAATAACTGCTTTATTAAGATATAATTCACATATCGTAGAATTCACTCATATACTGTACAATTCAGTGATTTTAATATAAATTCACAGAGAACTAACACCACTTAATGTTTTTTTACTGTAGTATACACACAGAGAATTGCACATATCATCAAATGGACAGCTTGATTAAGGCATATGGTATTCAAATCAAGAAATAGGACATTACTAGCATCCAAGAACCACAAGCTTGGCATAGCCACTTTTTTTTTTTCTATTCGAGGATTTTAATCAAGGATGTAATATGATCAAATTAGTTGCTTTTTGTTCAGTGAGACTGAAGACACTGAATCTATTTAGGACAGTATTGCTGTAGCTGACTGATATCAGGAGTGGTGTTTGGAGAAGGGGAGGGTTGACCTGAGTCATATAAAAGATTGAATTACCTGACTGGATATGAAGGGATAAGTCTGACTAACCCTGATGACTTTCTGGTTTGTGAAATTGTTGTGTTTTATGTATACGACCACAAAAGTAGTTGAGATTGTCCAGGTGAGGTATAATGTTGAGCAGATGGAGGGCTAAGGAAAGAACCTTGGAATCGCATATATTTATGGGGTTTTTTTTTAATCAAAAAATTTTTGTGGTAATATATATGTAATAATAAATTTGCTGTTGTAACCATTTAGAAGTGTATAGTTCAGTGGCATTAATTACATTTACCATATTGTAAAACTATTACCACTGTTCATTTTCAAAAGTTTTCATCACCCCTAACAGAAACTCATTACCCCTTAAGCAACTCCTCATTCCCTCCATGCCCTAGTCCCTGGTAACCACTAATAAACGTTTGTCTCTATGCATTTACCTATTCTAGATATTTCATATAAATGGGATCATACAGTAGTACTGTATTTTTACACAAATAACATGCACTTTCTGCATTTGTTTGCCAGTCACTCCCTCCCCACTCGAGGTATTTTTGTAACTGCGCTGTGCTAATTTTTCTACAGCAACATGTAAAAAAATATTGGCGTAGTGGCACTTACGAAAATAACCTCACGATGGGAGAGCATGGTTGGCAAATAGACGTAGAAGGCGCCATGTTATTTGCTTAAAAATACGGTAGTCCTTTTGTGTCTGGCTTATTTGCACTTAGCGTAATGTTTCCAATCCATGTCATAGCATGTATCAGAACTTTATTTCTCTTTATGGCTGCATAATATGCCAGTGTATGTACATACCACTTTTTGTTTAGCCATTCATCTGGTGATGGACACTTGGATTGTTTCTATCTTTTGACTATTATGAATAATGCTACAGTGAACATTGGAGTACACGTATCTCTTTGAGTCCTTGCTGTCAAATATTTTGGGTATATACCTAGGAGTAGACTTGCTGGGTCATGTAGTAATTCCGTGTTTGGCTTTTTTTAAATTTATTTATTTTGTTGCTGTTGAGAATATACAAAGGAAAGCATAACACCAATTCAGCCGTTTTTCTACATGTACCACTTAGTGATATTGATTACATTCTTCAAGTTGTGCAACCATTCTCACCCTCCTTTTCTGAGTTATTCCTCCCCCATCAATATAAATTCACTGCCCTCTAATGGTCCTATGTAATCTTTCAAGTTGTAGTCAGTTTGATTCCATATAGATAGTTCTTAAAAGAGCTTAATGCTCAAGGCAGACATTCTTTACTAGTTAAGCTAAACTATTGTTTGGTTTTAGTAATACTTCAGTGGGGATATTTTTGGTTTAAGGTTCAAAGATTATCTTAGGGCAATAGTTTCAGGGGTTCATCCAGCCTTCATGACTCCGGGGAAGTCTGAATTCACTAAGAATTTGAAATTCTGTTCTGCATTTTCCCTCTTTTGATTGGAATTCTTTTATAGAATTTTTGAACAAAATGTTTAGTAATGGTAGCCAAGTACCATCCAGTTGTTCTGGTCTCACAGCAAAGGTGGCAGTTGTTCATGGAGGCAATTAGCTACACATTCTATTTCCTCCTCCTATTCCTGACGCTCCTTCCTCTGTTGATCCAGGTGAATAGATATCAATTGTTGTGCCTTGGATGGCCACGTAAGCTTTTAAGACCCTGGACACTATGCAGTGAACTAGGAAGTAAACATATTATTAGGCTAACTGGGATGTCCCATGTAACCATGACCCTAAACCTCCAAACCAAGAAACGAAATCCCGTGCATTTTTTTTGTTGTACGTAAGCAGCCTCAGCAGCTACTCTTTTATGTTGTTGTTGTAAATATATCTATCGCACAACTTTTGCTGGTTCAGCTTTTTACAGGTGTACAAATTATTGACACCAGTTACAATAATCTGCCGTGCAACCCTACTCTTCTTAATCAATGCAGTATTTCCATCATCGTTAATCCCCTCTTTTCCCCCTCTCTCCCTCCCCTGGTAACCACTAATAAACTTTGTTCTCTGTACATTTGCCTTCTCTTGTCTTTTTATATAAGTGAGGTCATACAATATTTGTCCTTTTGTGATTGACTTATTTCCCCCTCTGCATGTCTTCCAGCTCCACGTATGTTGTAGCATGTATCAAGACTTCATTTCTCCTACTGGCTGAATAGTATTCCATTGTATGTGTGTACTAGATTTTGTTTATCCATTCACCTGTTGATGGACATTTAGGTTGTTTCCACCTTTTGGCTATTGTGAATACTGCAGCAACAAACATTGGTGTACAAGTCTCTTGAGTCTCTGCTTTCAAGTCTTTTGGGTGTATACGTAGGAGTGGAATTGCTGGGTCATATGGTAGTTCTATTTTTATTTTTCTGAGGAACAGCCACACTATTTTCCACAATGGCTGTACCATTTTGCATTCCCACCAGCAGTGGGTAAGGGTTCCAATTTCTCCATATCTTCGCCAACATTTGTTATTTTCAGTTTTTTTTTTTTTTTTTGCCTTAGCCATCCTGGTGGGAATGAAATGGTATCTCATTGTGGTTTTGATATTCCAGTGTCTGATGGCTAATGATTCTGAGCATCTTTTCATGTGTTTGGTGGCCATTTGAATTTCCTCTTTGGTGAAATGTCTATTCAAGTCCTTTGCCCATTTTATGATGAGGTTACAGTAAGTCCCTGGGTTAACAACTTCAGACTTACAGACAGCTGGTACTTGGCCTTTAATGTTATGTAAATTTGCCTCACCTTGAAACCATTGAGCCAACCCCTACCTGCAACAAATCCTTTATCACGGTCACCTTCACTAGCTGCATGTGCAGCTTTTAAATAATTGAAAAGGCTTCAAACCTTTTCTTGCACTAAAGTAAGGCTAAATAAGAACTGTATGTACCTGTTCTGACTTACCTACAAATTTGACTTAAAGACACACTTAGGAACGGATCTCATTTATAACCTGGGGACTGCCCGTATTTCTCTTTTTGTTGTTAAGTTGTCGAAGTTTTTTTTTTTTTGAGTTGTCTCCCTGCTTGTTTTTTTTTTTTAATTTTTTTATTGTTGTAGTTTAAATGAAGTTTATATTTCAAGTTAGTCTCCTATATAAAAATTTATACATACATTGTTATGTGACCCTAATTGCTCTCCCC